ACGATATTTACACATATATCGATATTTAATGAAATAAGTCAATTTAATGATGTATATCGTTAAACAATGATATTTAACGATATATATCATTAAACAATGATATTTAATGATGTATATCATTAAACAATGATATTTAACGATCTACATCATTAAACAATGATATTTAATGATCTACATCATTAAACAATATACATCAATGACTCTGATATATATCGATATATATCAAATATCTGTTTCGATATGCATCGATGACTCGGATATATATCGATATATAACTAATAATAAATATCGATACAAATCATCCCAAAAAATTTCCTGATGATATAAAAGTGATCAAGTTTAAATACCTATAACTTTTTATCAAGAGCTTTTTTGAAAATTTGAATTGCCATAAATAAAATCAAAATCAATTATTTTTTAGTTCAATTCAATGATCGTATCAAAGTGATCTAGTTAAGACAAATCTAATAATAGTTGAATCACTTTGATCATTAGACATCACATCCTAATACTTTTCACAAATTTAAATTTTGATATAATGACAGTTAGGAAATCAAATTTTGATTGTATGACCTTAGAATAAAAATTTTCTCATACAATGTTACTTGTCTTAGATCTCACTTAAATGTGATTTATGTAATAAAATTAATCAAATTATCGTTTTCGATTGATCAAATAATATAAAGTGATCATTCTGAGAATTTAAGTTCATCCTAACTTTCTACTGTAATAAGTTTTGAAATATTGACTATTGATAAGAATATAGCTTGGATAATTCTTTCATCTGGTTGTACTTGATCATTGTTTTTATTTGATTTGATCAATTGGGTTGGGCTGAGTGCAATCAAAATGATGTAAATTGTAAATTATATTAGAATTTATAATATAATTTACAAAGTTTCTATTGCACTTAGCCCAATTATTGCAACAACACTCGTATTATGTATGCTAAATATCTGCGAAAGGTGTATGTACAGTTGACTTTCAATATAACGATGTCAAAAGTTGACTGTAATGTACTATAATATCGTAAATAGTTATTAAACGAATCAGCATCAGGCCAGAATCACGTGATCCGATACATGTAATTTGCAAGTCCAAATAATTATTATTATTACCGCTATTTATTTGTCATTATCATATAAGTATTCAATATTAATACTAATTTATTAAAGATTTACATAAGAAATATCAAAAAAAATCAGCATCACGCCAAGGAGAGAAAAAATTATTATTAATACTAGCAGCAATAATCAATTTGAATATTAATCAACTGAAATTATTTGATCTCTCTTTTGTTGCAAGTGATCAAAGACTTTCACCCATTTGTTTTTTGATAATCTAGCTAACGATGAATGTGAAAACATTGCTTTCTTACTTTCCTTATTATATATATTAATCCCACTCCGTCCAAAATGAATATAATTGCTTAAATTCGATATTGAAACATACTTAGTGAGATCAACAAGTCTCATAAAGAACGTTATTAATTTTCATAAAAGTTCATCTTTGTCTCGTGTTTCATTGAGAGCTTGAGAGATCTGTCACATGGATTTCGAATTTATATATATCCAGTTGCAGGCATTTTTTTGCTAATATTATATTTAGTTTTTAAGTAATCAAATAATTTCAGATAGAATAAGTTAATTTTCATAAAATATTCAATTTTTTCGAGTTTATCGATGTTGACGTTGTTGAGGAATGCAAATAATTTGTTGAAATCTTTTATTGGGGAGGATGAATCTTCAAAAATCAGTCGGAAGATTATACTTGTCCAAGTTGAGAGGAGTTGAATTCACATCCACTTTTTTCATTGTTTCATCGAGAATATTAATTATTTCTTCTTTAATGTCTTGTTTGATGACTTGTTTGATGACTTGTTTTGTGAGTTAATTTTTGTTATCGGTGTCATCATCAGATGAACTGTCAGACAATTCCTTTTGACGAATCGAGATAGGTGTTTGCTATAAATAAGTAGAATAAAATTCTTTTAGAACTACATATAGATTTTTTTTTCGTTGTCAAATTTCTGAGAATACGAACAATTGTCTTTTTACTATTCTGTTGACAATTCTCTGAGGAATTGTCAGATGAGGTATTCATAGTCTATAATATATTATGCAACAAATTTTAGGTATTAGAAATTAATAAAAAACATATATATAAAAAAATCAGACTATACTTGATCAATATTCATGTCAATGATTTCTAGATTTTTTAATCTCTTCATATTTTGAATTCTGTCTTTGAGATTTTGAATCTCGTTTTGAATTAGCGCAATTTCATTATTTTTATCATTAATGCATTTTTGAGCATTTTGAAACTCATTTTGAATTAGCGTAATTTCATTGTTTTTATCATTGATGCATTTTTGAGCATTTTGAAGTTCATTTTGAAGCTTGTTTTGGGTATTTTGATAACTCTCATATAAAGTTTGCCAATACATCGAAATTAAATTTATTCCATTACTAAAAAAAAGAACATTAATATTTTCAAAAAAATTGATTAATATATGTTATGTCATAACTTACATATCTGTTTCGTCTATCCATGAATTTTCTGAATCAGGAAAATGTTTCCATTTTATATAATACATTAACTTGCCCTATATTACAAAAAAATCATTACAAAAAATTATTACAAAAAGATACTATCAAATTAATAAGCAAAATTAATATATGTACGTACATTTTCAAATTTATAATCCAGAATTTTCTCCACCTCAAATACTTGTCTTGTTTTCTATTGTCTCATGTTACCTTTAAAATTACAATAAAATGTGTGTTAATATATATTTATATTTTTTTTAAAAGTAAACACAATAAGCAAACAGATTTCACTGATTATCAATTTATACAATCTCTATTAGTAATTACCAGAATAATAAGTACATAATATTCAGGCAAGCAAAGATAATGGGTAAAATTACCGTACATAGCCAACGTGCAGATTCTATTTAATTTATATTATTTATAATATGATTTGCACATTGGTATATCAAAGTTAACTGTACATATTAGCAATACTGTACACCTTTCTAGTCTAAAATCATAATATTGTTACCATTTTGATGGGGCTTTCAAAATACTCAAAGGTATTTATAAAATTTAAGGAATATTCAAAAGGAAACTTCCAATGTCTTAATGATAATTCAAAGTCTAATAATACTTTATGGCTTTAGACTGAATATGAATTAAAGTA